TGAGTCTTTGCTTATAACATGCTGGTCCCATGAAAGGAAGCACTAACCAGCATCCAGAGCACTCTGCTAGGTCAGAGATGCCCAGGCATTGCATATAGCTCCAGTGTTTCATCAGAAGGGAGCATCTCCCTGGCAAGTGGCTCAGATGCACTAGTGGGACTCCAGCAAAGCAACATTTTCCCTGGAGCCCATGGACATATCGCTGGTGGCTACAGCTGACACCACCCCACACAGATCCCCAAGGAGTTATGACAGCATAGTCCTCGTTGGCTGTTATCAGCCTTCTCTCCAGATTTATCTACACTCCGCTCATTCTTACCTAAAAAGATATTGTTCCCTTCCCCTTATCTGCCTCACATCCTTTCTCATCCTCCATGGTTCAACCTCTTTCTCTCAGTAATCCCCAGCATTATCCTCATATGAGTCTCTCCACATTCCCTCTTGTCACACCCACAAACCTTTTCTTTTGCTCAAGCCCTGGGACCTTTTATTCCAACTGGGTTCTTTTTTACCTTCACAGACAGGCAGCACCAGAAAAATGAAACAATGTGCATACCTACAGAGGATGGAGGTACCTGCCATGGTTTTGCGACACCTTTGTGCCTTCCTTATTCTGCATTGCCCTGGATGTTGGCAAGATACACTGATACACTAAACCCATCCCCAAGTGACTATAGGCAAAGCTCTCTGTCCAGAAGTCCTTCTGTGCTGGGTACTCTTTGTGTGCATCCAAACGGCAGAAGCAAACACACCAGCAAATACCAGTTTCAGGTATATTACCATGCTTTGGCCAGTACCATCCGGTTGCCTCGTTCTGCTTCAGTGCGATACAAGCCAGACGGCACTACCCATGAACCCTGCCAGTTGTGAAGGAAAGAAAAGGAGATGATTGGTATTGTTCAACTCTTATTCCTCTTAGTTGATTCATAGAGACATTATTTTGGTGGATGCCACGGTACAAACTTTTATAATAAATAAAATAAAAAGAAAATACATCCTAGGTAATACATAGCTGTTGATATGTATCATCAGCTCTGGAAGTTAAGATAAGCTGAGGATAAAAAACCATTATTTTCAGTAATGATGTTACGTATATGTCATGTGTGCCTTCCTGTAATCCTGTAATTTTATTTCCCATGCATATAATGCCTTTACTGGTGTGGATTCCCAGAGCTTCCTTGAAAGGTAAGTAATTTTACTTCTTTCATAAACTGAGGAGACAAACATGGGGTTCAGAGAGGGATTTGTCTTGTCCAAGGTTATATAGGAAGGTTATATAGGTGGCACGGATCATCTAGAGCCCAGGTTTCTTGCTTGTGTTTCTGATACAAAATCAACCTTCTCAGTGTCGCTTTAATTTAGAGTATGAACATTTTTCAATGTAGAGAAGAGCAAACTATATTTTTCCTTTGTGTATATTCCTCAGTTCCTTTTCTGTAACATTGCTACTGTATCTCCAAAATATCACATTTGAAAAGAAAGGAAACATAATGGGATTGAAAAAAATGTGGTTTAGATCTATAATCGTGGTTTCCTGATTTCTTATCCAAAATTTTATAGCATTTATAATGGAGATGATAGGATTAAAACTTTCTTCCTTTGTTTCTTCATCCCTCCCTCTCTTCTTTCCCTCTCTCTCCTACAATACAGAAAGTATCAGTACCTGTGAATATTTTAATACAGGCAAATATGTGACTAGTACATTCATGAATTCAGGTCAATGTCCTCTACCTTCAGTTGCATTATTTGCAGACCTTTCACAGTTAATTGCTCATTTTTTGCAATAGCGACTGGAATTTCCTCTCGAGGGTCACAAAGGCGCCTGTTCTTCAATCTGCCATTTCCTCATTGTGAAGACCACCAAAAAAATGCAGAAGGGTCAGTAACTTTTAGATTAAATGATGCATAGAAACGAAACTGAAAAGCAGAACTAAAATCCAAATCTGCAAACTCAGTTTCAGTAGTCAAATGCGCTTCGTCAGGAAGGGAATCCTTCTCAGCATAGCCTTGTGAAAAATTGCCCAGCATTTCTTTTTATTTTGTCAACATTTAGTTACAGTACAAAATTGACTTAACTATATAATGAGAAAAGCAGTTATTTCAAGTATTACACTGAGGATAAAATGCATGTTAACATTAATGTTACCTATTATTACTTTTTAAATGGAAAGTTATTTACCCTTTGAGAAAAAACATTTCAGAACCAAGCTAAGATAACCACATGCATTAAATAAACAAATCAAATCAAACCTTAATTGGGCTTGGAGCTTCAAAACAGGGAAAATTATCAAAGTTAAGCTAAATAAATTAAACATAAAAAATAAATCTCATTTACTGAATAATATTTTGCCAGATTCTCTGTGGAGTCATAAATTCAGAGAAATTTAGCATGCAGATGAGAAATAAGGAGGAGGGAATCAGGCAGATGAACTCTAGTGGGAAAGCAACCGTAAGTTAATTCAGGATGTGTTCTGCCTAATACTGATGAAGATCTAAATGAGAGCTCTTTAAATTGTACATGTAGAACCAAGTCCTGGTGTGATTCACATTCTAACTTCAGATCTCATACGCTGTGCTGAAATACGTAAAGCTGACTTAGCCTAGAGAAGGAAACTCAGTTTGGTTCCCTGGCTTTTTTAGAAATTTTGGCCGGAGTGCCAGAGTTAGGCAGCAACGCTTTGTAAAGTCTAACATTAACAGGCAGACTCCCTTGTTTGCACTTCCTTCGGTGCCTGAAAAATAAAACACAGTGCAACAACAGGATAAAAACACGACCAAGAAAATACAGCAAGACAATTTGCCATTGTCTGCTTAGTTTTTATAAAAGTATCATAGGATGGCTTGGGTTGGAAGGGACCTTTGAAGATCATCTAGTTCCAACATGAACATTAGAACATGTTCATGTTGGAATCAGTTCAATCATGAACTGGTTGCACTGTTTTCTGGTCTGCTGTATTAATAACAAATATTACACTCTGCAGCATTACAAAATAAACCTGTAGCCTCCCCTTCTATTTCCATAACATCAGTGGAAGCTCAACTCTTCCTGTATCCTATTGGGTATCTCTGGAAGAACGGGTTGAAGATAGGATCTCCTATTTACTTCACAGGCTTTGAAAGGAATTGAGAATACTTTGCCACTTCAAGAACTCAGCCACTCATGAGTAAAACTTCATGCACTAATTCTCAGCGCAAATCTGCTTCAGTGGCTCTCAGAAGTGTGTGCAAAATTAGACGTTGCAAGATGAGGCTCTGGACCGAGCTACTGCTTCCAGGAAAGAACAGACACAGAAAAGTCATGCAGGCAGGGAAGACTGCAGAATTGGGCTCTGATGGCTGTCCCTGGGACAGGTGGGGTGCAGCCTCCTATCCTATCCTATCCTATCCTATCCTATCCTATCCTATCCTACCCTACCCTACCCTACCCTATCCCATCTCGTTAGTACCTGCTACCCCACACCACTAGACTGTTTTCTTGTGAGGGCAGCCATATGCAGTCCAGCCTTCCCAGGTCCTAGAATAAGCAAAATTTGAAGCAGAACACTGCTGTTTTGGCAGTCAGAGAAGTCTGCAGCCTTAGGAGCTGTCGCCATTCTCTAAGACTAGAATAAGCCTGGCCTCACCCATTTAACCAAATCAGTCATTCGGTGAAGTACACATGGCTTATTTTAAACATAAAGCCTGAGAAACAGGCTGTTTGGTCAGTCCTGAAAGCCAACAAATGCAGAGATCGGTGATTTTGCAAATGGAGGGATGTCTGCAGAAGGAGACCTATTGCTGGACGTGCTCTGTGGCCAGGACCAAAGATGTCTTGCAGATAGGTTGGTGTGCTTTCCCGGTTAACCTCCTAGGCTGTGAGCAAGACGTAGATCACGGAGAGCTTTATATTTGCACTGAAAAGCCACTAGAAGGCAAGGTAGTGTAGAATGCACTCCAGCGTGACATGTTCAGCCTCCTTTGCAAAGCTGTATAAATTGCATTTCTGTACACAATCTGTTTTGGTGATACTGGCATGAGGATTTACTTTGCTTACATGTTGACTAGAAGTTCAGTCCTGCACGGGGAGCTGCAGGCAGTGTTTGTTAGTAGGCAGAGCATCTCTGCATCTGGCAAGAAGAAAAATTGTGCAATGATTCTGTTCCACATCCTCTGCTACATTTTGCAGATTTTGGACGCGTTTTAGAGTCACTGTACAAGAGATAAGCAGATGAGTTGTGGTGGGCTCCGGATTTCATGGTAATATTTGTCCCAGATGCTGATCGCTGCAAGATGGTCAAATATTTTTGCTGATCAGAGCAACATCAATTCTTGCACAATAACTGCTGCTGGGTACAGTAATGGAGAAAGATAATAAAAATTTGCTAACTATGTCACACTTCCTACTTGAAAATGTTGTGCTTGACTCATTTATACAGAGGTTACTTTTGTTCTAGTTTTAATAGTTCCACTTATTCCCGTTGTAAAGCTACTTTAAGATAAAAGCGATGTAAATGGAGGGTCAACTGGCCTCTTCATTTTGAACATTATGCCCTCTTCTTGGTAAGAGTGGCAATGGGCCCTATGCCCATCCTCACCCAGAGTTTCCAGAGACACCCATGAGAGAACACTAAAATGCATCTTTGCTACCTTTCATAAGCCCATTTTTCATTTAAAATTCAGCAAAACGATCATTTACCGTTAGCTGAGCGTGCAGCTTATACTTCTCGTTTTGTTGAGCCTGTACCAGCAACGCCCCAGCGGGAAATAAAGTGAACCGGTTGGTGCCATTCGGTGTGGCCCGTCCTGCCCCCCAGCACGCGTTGGAGGGGCGTCCGTTCCGCAGCAGCACAGCTGGAGAGGGCTTTCTGCCTGCCCTGCGGAACTCAGGAGAAAGCCTAGAGCCTTTGCTCTGCCTCAGGCAAGACCATGGGATCTCTAACTAGAGATCTGACACCTCAATCTTCCCGCTCAGGGTGGCAGCGACTGACCCGGCTGCTGGGGTGCCGTTTAGCAGGCCGGTTATGCGGAGTGTTTTAACGGGTACAAGCCGGGGTTCCAAGCTTGCAGCGTCCAGAGCCTGCCCCCGCCAGCGGGCCGGTCCCCCGGCCTGCCCCCGCTCGGCACCTTCACCCCCGGCCGCGCTGCCCCGCTCCTCCGCCCGCTGCCCGCACGGTGGCCGCAGGGAGGCTTCAGCCGGGCAGGGAGCGAGGCAGAGCGGGGTGCGCGGGGCCCGCCCGGCCCCGGAGGGGTCCCCGCGAGTGACCGGGTGCTGGGCGCCGCCGGGGGA